CACGAGCTCAGCTCAAAGGTGAAGAATGAGGTGAAAAGAAATTCCACCACATATGTTAAGGGTGGCTGGGTCGTGCAGCCGACCTGGAAATAATTGGATTTTTTTAAAAAAAAAAAAATCCTATCTATAATAAAAATCCAAGAATTCAACTGCTGTTTTCTGGGGATTTAATTCATTTAAAGAGGTGCTGTTCGGTTCAAGCATCTCCTCCCCAAATCTCCCAACGTTTTCTGCGAAAACGTTGGGAGATTTGGGGAGGAGATGCTTGAACCGAGCAGCACGTTGAGAAATTTGGGGATTTTGAGATTTTAACCAAGCAGCGTTTTTTTACTTAACAAGAGAAAAACGGGGCTGATAACAAAATACAAGTATTTCTTTTCCCCCCGAAGATGCCTCACCTAGAGCTCAGCACGCCATCCCAAATCCATAGTTGGAAGGTCCTCAAGTCCCCTCTTGGGCCACCCCAAATTCCCACTCTGTTATCCAAATTTTAAGCTAAAAAGAGGGATTTTAGGGCTCCGGTTTCAAACACATAGAATCATAGAATCGTTCAGGTTGGAAGAGAGCCTTGGGATCATCGAGTCCAACCATCTACCCTACTCTACAAAGTCCTCTCCTACCCTTTCTTTACTTAGAGGAACCCCTGCAGAAAACCAGATTTGACCACCGACTCTCAAAAAGTTGGGAGAACGGCAGGTTTTAAAGGCCAGAAGGTGGAAAAAAGTGACAATTAGTGATTTAATGCTGTATAAATGGCTGCGTGCCACCACACGGTGAGACCTGGACAGGCTGGAGAGTTGGGCAGAGAAGAACCTGATGAGGTTCAACCAGGGCAAGTGTAGGGTCCCACACCTGGGGAGGAAGAACCCCATGGACCAGGAGAGGTTGGGGGTGACCTGCTGGAGAGCAGCTCTGAGGAGAAAGATCTGAGAGTCCTGGTGGACAACAGGATGCCCATGAGCCAGCAATGGGCCCTGGTGGCCAAGAAGGCCAAGGGCATCCTGGGGGGCATGAGGAAGAGTGTGAGCAGCAGGTGGAGGGAGGTCATCCTGCCCCTCTGCTCTGCCCTGGGGAGGCCCCAGCTGGAGCACTGGGACCAGTTCTGGGCTCCCCAGTTCCAGAAGGACAGGGAACTGCTGGAGAGGGGACAGCAGAGGCTACAGAGATGATCAAGGGACTGGAGCATCTCCCTTCCGAGGAAAGGCTGAGGGACTTGGGGCTTTTTGGTCTGGAGAAGAGAAGGCTGAGGGGGGATCTGATCAACACCCATAAATACTGCAAGGGTGGGTGTCAGGAGGATGGGGCTGGTCTGTTTTCAGTGGTGCCCAGGGACAGGACAAGAGGAAATGGGCACAAACTTGAAGGTAAGAAGTTCCACCTAAAGATGAGGAGGAACTTCCTTGCTGTGAGGGTGGCAGAGCCTTGGAAGAGGCTGCCCAGAGAGGTGGTGGGGTCTCCTTCTCTGGAGACATTCCAACCCCCCCTGGACACGTTCCTGTGGGACCTGCTCTGGCAGGGGGTTGGAGGAGATGATCTCCAGAGGTCCCTTCCAACCCCATATCATCCTGTGATTCTGTAAATACGAGCAATGCCACGTGAGGGGAGAAAGTCTTTGCCAGGAAGGGACTCGCCATCCACCCAACCGAAACAAAACCAAGATTATCCACCAACCCAGTCCCCTCCTGCCCATCTTCACCGCTGTTTTCAAACCAATGGTGTAATTAAGCCACCGGTAATCAACCAGGGCTGCAACCCCATCCCTACCTCCTGAGTGGCTCCAGGAGCACAGGCCAACCTGAGTCATCAGGTTTAAATTTAATTTTAAAATTTTTTTTTTAATTTTTTTTTTTTCTGGAAAACTTCCTGTTTATGGTTTTTCGGTGGGACCGAGATAATTTTAGGTTTTTAACCCTTTCCAGCTCCTGTGGCAGGCCCGGCAGCCGTGAATCACACTTCTTTTATAAACAAACAATCCTCTGGTATATAATTACCCTGTCAATAACCGGCCGTGTGGTGCCTTACAGGAAGAAAGAGGAAAAAAATAAGAGCCTTTTCTTTTTTTTCCTTTGTGTTTTCTTACAAATATAAACTAAAATGAGGCACATCCCTCTCTCTTACAGGCACAGGCTGTCCTGTCCGCAGCCAGGTGCTGTCACTGGATGTTTTTGGAAGTGATGGCATCATCCTATCGTGGTGGAAAGAGGGGAAAAAGATGTAGGTTTTACCCAGGAGAGAAAGTTACCCCAAGAAAAACCAGCTTGCCCAACTAGCCACGGTGGCTACTGGGCAACCTCCAGCAGCGTGGGGGCAAGCGCGGGGTTCAGGCTGGAGTTAGGCTGGTTCCTAGCGGGTCAGCACAATTAAAAGGGTGATTAAAGCATTAATTGCACACAAAGTTCCCCTCTTCCTTTGCCTGGCCAACCCCACCGATGTGGGTTATTCAGAGAAGCAATCCCGACTGGAAAATTGGGTTAAATCGAGGGAATTCTGGTAATAATAAAAGAGGGATGTGGGGAATGGGCAGGGCAAAGGCGGGAATCGGCATCGGTTGGGTACCAGGGTCCCCAGCCAAGGGGAAGGCAGAAGGGGGGGTCCCATCCCATCCAGTCCCAATCTCTGCTCCATCAAGAGGGGAAAAAGGAGAAAAAAAAGAACTAAAATCCCAGTTACTTTCTTCCAGAACAAAAGAAAGTCACCGGAGCACTTCGTAAGGCTGCGAATGCACTTTGAAGCAGTAAATATCTCTATTAGAATCCTGATACCAGTTGGCTAATTATGTCTGTCTCGGTAAAAACCTCTACAAAATAACCCCGTGCAAGTAATACCTCTACAACCCAATTATTTACATTTCTGCTGTTGTTGTTGCTACTTTACAATTTGAGATAATCTTCCCAGCTGATGATGAAGCTTTGCCTTTTTTTAATATAGTTCTGCGAAGGGAGGGGGGGGAATAAAAAAAAAACGACGCAGAAGCAGGAATAAAAGCAGAAAGGAAGGAAAAAAGAGAAGTCAGGATCTTCTCTGAGCTTTTCCAATAAAAGGATGCACCTCACCCTTCGAAAGGCGACGGCGATTCATGGCACCAAGAATTTTTGCCCCTCCATGAGTGGGGGGCAGGGGCCGACACGTGCCTGATGCAGCGACATTACAACCATTACAGCCAAAAAAAAATATTAAGGAGGCGTTTATGGGTGGGTTTTATGCTGTTTAGAAAACATAGGATGGAAAATAAATTGGAGAGAGGTGGGTCGGTCGCTTTTGGATTGCCGGCGTGGCACGGTTATCACCCTTACCCTAAAAGCTGTATTTACACCGAAGAAAAACCAAAACCGGTGCTTTTTTTTAAAAAAAA